CAGATGGGCGACACGCCCTAAGCAACACCAATTGGAGCACTTGGCTCTAGATTGGAAGGGTCATAATGGAAGATTTTATCACAATTTCCTAAGTGAGGATTGTATAAGGAGAGTTAAAGGGTTGGCGACAAAGTCGCACCTTGCTCATATGAGCAGACACGTTCTCCTGAAGTATTCACTCCAGCAGTGCTTGCTCTGGCGCTAAAAGCATCCAGGGGTTTGGCAGGAAGCAGCAATCATCCTACGATCTGATCACACGGTCCCCAAACATAGAGTACCAAGACCTCCTTAAAGATCCAGCGGATAAAGCCTTCCCGAAAATATTCTTCTTCATGTACTCTCTTTTGATGGATCTTTGTGGGGGAATTGGATATACTTCTAAAGAACCCCCGTGTGACAGAAAACAGGGCTAGCGGCTACGCATTCAGTCTCCCAAAGCTTCAATTCGGTTTGTAGGACTTGGGGTTTAGGGTGTATAGGGGAAAATAGAGGTTTCAGGATAATATTATAAAGGATGGGTTATTAGACTTTATATAAGGGCCCAATATAATGTATTTACCTCTAGCTACTATAACGTCTAATAGCCCATCCAGGGTTTAGGATAACTTTCAGGAATTACGCACAAGGATGTCGCCTGCACGTGCAGGATTCGAGAGGTATATATAAACCCTACCTATATAACCTTAAGCTAGCATGGGTTATTAGGTTACAAAGGGCCCAATTATATATAGCATAATACACCATCCAGGAATTATGGATTAGGATGTCGGCTGCGCATGCAGGACTCGGGATATATAAACCCTGCAGTATAAACCTTGTACATATCCAGGATGGGTTATTAGAGGTTATAAAGGGCCCAGTTATATAATGTATGTACCTTTAGCTACGAGAGCCTCTAATAGCCCATCCTGGCAAACACTATTTAAAGCCCTACAATAAACCATAAATGCGTAAAATGTCCGGAATATGATTGTTTCAAGACTTAGAATATAGCATTCTCGCATATATTCTGCTTATTTTTTTCTTCGCACCTTTTTCGACATGTTGAGTCGTGGACCCGCCGGGCTGCTCCATAAGACTTTAGAACTCTCCCATTTGGAGTTGTTTGTCTGACGTCATTGTTTTTTCGGCGCTGATGCTCATGATCATCGTTCGTCCTGTAGCACTATATCCGTACCCAATTTACCAAATCCTATCATCCAAGCTGTCATCCTTTATGCACGCTGGGAAGCTTAATAGCTATTCGGCTTCTCAATGCTGTCTTTAAGTATTCGGATTCTCAAAGAAGTGGAACAACACCTCCTGGCTCCGACGTGCCCACTAGCCATGCACATCCATGGCAATCTCCACGGTCTGGCTGCAGTGGCTTGGCGTTCCACTTCCACTGCTTTAGCAGCTGAACCAAGCTGTGGCGCTGGAGACCATGTGGGAGTGGATAAAGTCGGTGTCGCAAAGAAATGCGAACCTTGAGAAACTGGTGTTGCGGCCGCAACGCCTCAAAAACCTGTTGCTCATCCGAATCGCGGGTTCGCAATCCGAATCTGGCACCTAAGCGAACCAAAGAGATAGCCTTTTCAGTAGTGCGCAATGCATGGGCTGCTTGCTGTGCCGAGTGGCCCGGAAGCCACACCACTGACCAACTGCTGTGGTCCCGTGCCGTCCGAGGCCCGAGGCTCAAAGTAGGCGCCAGGGATGGCTGCACGAAGGAGGTGGCTCATTGCCGACGCGAGGAATTCGCACAAAGGCTTGAAACAACTCTGATTCCGAGGGCCGAGAACCTGCGGTCTTGCTGAAGCTACGCGACCAGATGTCAGATGTCTAGGAAGAGATGATGCACTGTTTCATCCACTGCAGCATGAAAACAGGGGCACGCCTGCTGAGGGCAAGCCTTGTCCTTGCAGACCTGTAACTCCTTTGCTGCCGCCGTCAGGGCTCGAATGGGTGCTTCCGTCACCTGCTCCCACGGAATTTTGCACACATCCCGGTACAAGCTGAGTCTGCAGACCAAAGTGTCCAGTCCGCTTCGTCTCCCAACTGCAAGATGGACCCTGACACCAACACAGCCTCTTGAGTAGGCTTGTACACGGCTGGGAACCTTAGCGGGGTGACATCAGCTGAGCCCGCTTCCTGAACGCTGATCTCTGAGGTTATGAGCAAGGCTAAGGCATCCACACTCAAATGCTTAGGATCCTCCAAGAAAGGGGAAGCTTGCTGGGGAGTACAAAAGCAAATGCCAGTCGCCTGGGCAAGGACCTCATGAAAGGCCAGTTGGCCTAGTGGGGTGCCGGACTTGGACTGAAGGGAACCTGCGGCCTGCGGCAAGCAAAAGCTGGGCCGGGTCAACGCAAAGTAGCAGCGGCTTCAATGCATTCCTGACCTCGGTGCCGAACTTTTCCTGTGCGCGGCGTTCCACATGCATCTTAAGCTCTGCAGGCTGCACCCACTTATACAGGAGCCCCGGCTTGGAGGCAGCAATCTTCAGGGCCGGCCAAACGTTTTTCTGCTGAGGTGCCTCAGCCAATGGGCCGGCTCCCAATTTCGCTTCTGCCTGTTTGACTCTCTCCTGGACAGCATCAGCTGGAACACCTTTGGAGATCAAGATCTGGCGGAGTTCGGCAATCTGCTCAGAAGACAAGCCTCCGTTGCCACGCAACGGCGAGAAGTCAACTGGAAGTGAGGCCAAAGTACTGAAAGCCCAATCAAGGCAGGCATCGTCAACACGACCTGTCAAGTGTGCCATTGCATGGTGCCAACGCAATGCCCCCGCAAGAGCTTGAGTCTGACTGCGTCCAAACGGTCTTCTGCTGCATCCCCTGAAAGGCAAAACCCAGCATGCTGCAGAAGGCCTTCGCAAGGCACCTGGCAGGGTGAACCGAATGTCTGGGAACACCATCCAACAGGGAAGCTACGGCCCCAGCAGGACACATATCCAGGGTCAGCAGACTCCAATGACCCTCATGCAGGAACGGAACAAGCCTTGTGGTGGGAGCCTGTGCTGCCCAGATGCCGGAAGTGACTTGGAAGCCCGGTTTACAAACTCCAAAAGGGCCATGGCGGCCTTGGGTGGGACAACCTGCACTGTCGGCTTTCCAACCTGTGCCAGAGCATTTGCAAGGCCACACAGCTGAACATCGGAGCACTGCCCGTGTGCGTCAACAACAGTGGCAAAACCTGCTGCTTGCGCCGTGTCAACCGCAAGTGACCGAGCATCCGAGCGGGCAGTCTGGGCCTGCAGGTCATCAGGTTTGGCAGCTCTTATGCGCTGCAAGCACAGCTCGTACTCAGGACCTTCTGGCTGAAAGTGCAGAACGGGGGGAAGGATCCTATTCCCAACCTTACGGAGGCCAGTAAAACCCTGCCTAAAGGGACGGAGGCGTTGCAACAGGTGGCATGCCAAGACAGGTCCGGTGCAATTGACAGACTGAGTGCTATCCTGGTCCCGGATTCGAATGTCGCCGCCGCCAAGGTGCGAGCGCAACTGCCAGAGGTCAGACCTCTGTGCACACAGCTTGGCCTTGAAAGCTTGCCATTCAAGAAGAGGATCACATGGCTCGGTCTTGAAGATCTTGGCTGCCCATCCTTGAATCTGGCCAGCAATCCAAAGTGCTTGGAGCGGTGCTGCCAACTGGCCCACAAGACACAATGCAGCGCGTGCATCGGGAAGGTGCTTATAAGCAGGGGGTAAGGAGTTGAGCAAACCCGCTTCGGCAGGATGTGGAAAGCGAGTACTCTCGAGGACTTGGGATGGCACGTCTACCCCTCTAAGGCCGCGACTCAACAAACTGGTCTTGCTGAAGGCTTGCGTGCGACATTTACAGGGGCATGGCCGAAGGGCTGCCCCCCAGGAGTGTAAGGCTGTGGCGGGCTTGAGAGGAAGCGGCCAACAACCTGGGCTCAGTGCCATATGCAGGATTGGCATATGCAGCTTTCTCATTGGTGTCCCACAGCAGTTGTTCTTCCGTCTCCACGTTCCAAAGCGGAACCTCTGGCATGACATCTCCGACTGTGGTTTGAACAGCATTGGCCGGCCAGGGGCGAAGTTCAAATTACGCGAGGCAGGCTGGAAGGAGAACGGCCCACCATCGTCTACGGCGGCTAGCCCACTGATGGGCAAGTTCCAGATGAACCTGAGCAATCTGATAGCCGGCTTGGAAAGCGAAGCGTTTGAGGCAGTCAATTGCTTCAACGGAGTCGGAAATTTCCGAGACGCATTCCAACACCACCCCAGAAACCCGCATGTGCCAGGAGGCCTGCAACACGGGGATTAGGGTCTGACTACGCGCGTCCAAAAAGCCCTGCTTAGAACCCTGAACGGAATAACCCTGGCACGGGATCCCAGCTGCCAAGAGATTGCGAGTGCCTGCACAAGATTGATGCAGTGGAATGCGTGCTTCCCTCGTGGAAATGTCTCCCTCCTGGACACGGAAACCATTGAGTCGCAAGGTCTCGCATGCGATGTCACTGCGGTCAAGTGCAGCTACGTTCACCCCCCCCACTGCTTGAAATCCGACTGATATGCCGCCAATGCCAGCGCAAACCTCAACCAGAGATGTGAAAGACTGCATCACCACATCTGAATGCCTGAAGATCAAACTCCCTGTAGTACACTGCAATAGTGGCGGTCCATCATGGACTCCCTCAAGACGCGCCCCATAAATGGTGTACGAGGCACCAGGAATCAAGACAAGGTCACAAATGCACTTCTCCTTGGTCCACAGGGTGGTAGCATAGGCTCTGTCGCCTGCCACCTCATCGACCTGAAGCACTAGGTCCAAGGTGGTTCCTGTGCAAAGAACTGTCAGTTGGGGGTCACTCAATGTTATGGCTACGTACCACCCTCGAGGATCAGTAGATAGCGGGTCCACTAGCTGGCAAGTCTCGAGCCCAGACCTAAAATCAGGGGAGCATAATTTCAACGCGCCCCGCCACAGTTTGGGGTTACCCTGATTGCCCTGAAGCTAAAATGCCTACCTAAAGAATTCAAAGCCCCAGCCGCCCAGGTGGTCCATGCTCTGGAGGCCATCATCGGCCGGGATCAAGGACTTCAGGGCATGGAAGAGCCTACAGCAGAGGCGGGCTTGGGAGGGGGTAAGACTAATTACGCGGAATTGCATCTCATACTTGTAGCCTCCTGCTGGTAGCAGTGAAAGCTGGCGTGGGTGAAGTGAAGTAGCTGAAATGCCGCAGGAGACCCACGCTCATGGCACTTCGCGTAGAAACTGTTCTTGCTTAGCTTTAGCCGAGGAGCCTTTCATGGCACAGGTAATAATTAGAGTCGAACCCTCCAATGTCGCGGGCATAAATGCTACACATCCTAAGTCCAGATCCACCTTGTCATACTGAAGGTCCCAACCCTCCGCCACGGCTCATGGAACTTTCGACCTTCTGTGACAAGTCGCGGTTTGAACACTAACAAGTCTGAGTCTTCTACTTGCCATCCATGGGAAATGGTCACCAGATTTCTACAAAAGAACCTGGAAGAGCACTGTGGTTTGCTCCTATGTGGGCTCAAGCAGAACCAAGATGTGCATGCGTCCCATGCTTCAGTCTTAAGCAGGGAAATCCCCTTCAATTCACACATCTCCCTTTGACGCCCTGAGGCAGAGATCACAGTCCCAATGAAACTGCTGATGCTTGGCATTCTCAAGAAGGTGCATATTCAGGCTTGGTTTAGGGCTCAGGTTTTGGCTGTAAGGCTGTTGCATTTCAGGGCCCGCAAAGTTTCAAAATTCGTCTGGGCTTGTTTGCATCACGATATTTTAAGCTGCGCAGCAGCTGGTGGCGGTGGTGGTGGTGGTGGCGGCGGCGAGGGCG